ATAGGCACTGCAGTAAGAACTTTGTATACCCTGTGCCTTCTACTGTATGACAGACAGACAGGTGTCTGGCTAGGAAGGTTGCTTCTCTTGCCTGTGTAATTACTGCTATTATTTCTTGGCCTTTTAGTGTTCTGCCCCTAGTGTTAAGTGTGTAGCTCTGACTTGTCACTACATTTTTTTTTTTTTAATATGAAAAGAATTCTTGTTAAAGTAAGTTTGAGATTTGAGGAAAGATTGGAAATATGAACACGTATGTCTCAAGGCTGTACAAGTCCTGTCAAAGATTCTTACGTAAACCTGGACAATTAAAGATCTGCAGTATCCTTTCAGTATGTATTAATAACTTTTGGTGGCTCAAGGGAGAATGAAAACACTTGCTTCCATAAACTGGTATTTTGGTGTCTGAAGGATTTTCTTGATAATACAGTATATATTGACAATCAAATGTATGTGTACTTGTGAAAGGATTCATGTGGCATAATGGAGTAGGAGAACAGAAAAGACTGACAATCATTGGGATGCTATGCCAATAAAGCAGGCGTGTGCTGATGATAATTTCCAAGCGTGTTATTTCTTCACCATGTTGGATGTGTACCTGAGTGTACAGCCTGTTTCAGCAGGGCTCCCTATTCTAGAGTTTTGTGCATTGTGAGAATTTTGGTATGGGAGCACGTTGCACTGATGGTTTCTTGCTTTGGAGCCTAACTGACGTAGTGGTCAAGAGAAAAGGGTGTTTTTGTCTGTTTATATGTTGTGCTTTTGATCATACACATTTTAGTTCTTTGTTAAAGCCTAAAGTCTGAGATACTTTGAGAAGCACTTAGACTAGTGGTCTAATCTGTTAAAGCAAAATTCTTTATTGTTTTGAATGTTGGCAATGACTGAATCGGTTACTGGCATTGCTGGAAGGCAACATCAACAGAAATGCTTTAAAGGTATATTTTTCTTCTATCTGAGTGATACTGGAAATGAAAATGCAGTAATGAGAATTGTATGTGCTGTTAAGCAAAGCCTGCATATACCCTATTGAACATTTTGCACAGTAACTTGAAAATAAACCGAATAAGATTGCTAAGTGTTATCACAAAAATATTCCAAGGTACACATTGATGGTTGTGAGTTGTAAGTTAGAACTACATGCTTTCGTAGTATTATGATTTTTATGGAAATAAAAATATTGGTATTTCATAACTTCCAAGTGTGTGATGTAGTTTGTTTCTTGTGTTTAAAAATATTGAACAAATTCTGAGTTCAGTTGTGTAATGTTGTGTGAATATCAGCAACTACTTGAAATTTTGGAAATGTTAAATTTGCAGCTTACAAGTAATTGGTTGTGGTAGTGACAGGCTGGTATTTTTATTATTGTTACTATTTTGGGGGATGCCTCTAGAAGTAGCTGACACAAACATACTGCCTGTTTTGTAGTGAGGCAAACATCTTGCCTGTGGGCTTATCTAAAGTTAATAGCCGAAAAACACTACACCAAATTAAACAGAACAAATAGTTATATATTCTTTAGTGTCTCTTCCAGTTGCTCTCCATCTTCTTTCATTCCATTTTCACGAATTCATCTTGTTCCACTTACTGACAAGTCTCTCACTGAAAGGAAGAATGGAAAATGCTAGAACCAGAAATGAATTGCTGCTTTCCCCCTCCCTGCTTCCTGCTTGGCAAGTTGAGGAAAGGTTTAGAGGACAGGAAGAGTTATCTCCTTGTTCTTTCTTTTTTCTGCCATCAAGAGAAGGCCTTGCACCTGTTTTACTCTGAGCTCTGGTGCAGAGTGTAATCCTGCTTGATGTGTAGCTCCACCAATGCTCACTGAGGTTGGCAACAAAAAGTGCAGCGAAGAAAGCTGCATCAAGATTGTGACAAATTTTGCTGCAGCTTTTGCAATAACTTCGATGAAATATAGAACTATACTGTATGTGCTTAAATTTATTAAATAAACAATATTGTATTAGATAATGCTGTCACAAACTTCTAAAAAGAGCATTAGTAAAAAGTGCTTGTGTGGGCCCTTTTTGGCTTTAGCTATGACTGGAGAGAAAATCAATAGAAGATGCAGGAGGTGAAAAAGATCAATGAGAACTGAGATAGCCTACAAGTTACGGTTAATAACTATACTGGCAGCAAAGAAAAGAATTAAATTTGTCTACCACGCTGTGGTGAGTTGACCTCAGACTGCAGCCATATGCTGACCCAGCCACATACCTCCTCCTCCTTAACAGGACAGGAGGAGAACGTAGGATGAAAAATCTTGTAGGTCACGATAAAGACAGCGAAATCACTTGCCAGTTACTGTTAGGGGCAAAACAGACTCAACTTTAGGAAAATTGATTTAACTAATTGCCAATTAAAATAGATATGGATAGTAAGAAAGCTGAAAATTAAAACGCCTTCCCCTACCTCCCCTTTCTGTCAGGCTCAATTTCAGTCCTGCTTTCTTGACTCCTCTACATTCCCCCTCCCCTTCAGGCCTCAGAGCGCTGCATGGGGTTGGGGGGTTCCACTCAGTACACACTAGCTCCTCTCTGCCTCTTCTTCCTCCTCACACTTCGTCCCTGCTCCAGCGTGGGCTCCTCTCCACAGGCGGCCATTCCTGTCAGGAGCGCGTGCTCCAGCGTGGGCTCCTCTCTTTCTCTTTCTTGAGCTGTGCTGAGACCATTTGTATTTGTAACTGAAGTAGAGTTGACTGGTAGGCAGGCTTTACAGGAGGTAAGTGCAGTGTGGACTGAAACACTTCATCATAGCAATTAGATTTAAACCCTGTTTCTGTCAGAAGGCCTCCACTACATTCTTTTGATTTGATGCTTTTCCTTAGTTTTTCAGAGAATTGGTTAATAGGTAAGTGTCTGTTAACAGTAACTGGCACTGCAAAGCTAGAACTAAGGAAGGTAAAAATAATGTAAAGGAAAAGCCCGCAGAACTGCAGTTATGTTTTGCTCTTTTATTTTTCCACATTACTTAAAACAATGTTTAATAGCACTGTATCTTATTTTTTTACAACAAAATATTTTCATGTATTCATTTCCTGCTTATAACTGAAAACTTCATACAAGTTACTAAATGCCAGCACCTAAATCTTCCCAATACTGTTGTTCTCTAGTGCAGTCTTACTTTGTTTGGGATTATGGTTAGAGATCTTACTCTGTGTTCAACAATCTCTTTTTTTTTTTTTTTTTTTTTTTTTTTTTTTTTTTCAGTGCAAAATGTTTTTAAGGGGGGATAAGCATTTACAGTGTATTGGTAGAAAGGCCATGATTCTAACATGAAACAGAGTTAACATCGGTGTTCATCCATTAACTAAGGAACACAAAAGTTTTACTTTTCTCATACTTAGTTTGTGTTTGCATATGATAACCTACGCTTTATGAAACTATGAGACTCAGATGTATCAAAAAACCCCAAAACAACTGTATTGTTTTATTTAGTGGTACGTGTGTGTTTGGTTTTTTAAGCTTGTTTTTCCAGGAGATAAATTGAACTACCTTTATCATTTGGATACATATTATAGACCTTTAAAAATATATCCTGTTCTAAACAGTTTGTTAGGGAAAAAATTTCAGATACCCATTAAGCTTCCTGAAGAAAGGGAAGAATGAACGTAATAAAAATCCCCCCTGCCAATATATTTTAATGTAAGTAAATTCTTGAACATGGTATTTTTATACAAAGAAACATTTATCATAAATGCTGTTCTATTCCTCAGCCAAATATTATGACAAATATAGGACACAAAAGCTTCTCAACCTTCTTTATGAAAAAAACAAAAAAAAACCTAAACAAAAAAAACCAACCCCAAAACAACAAAAAACTAAAACCCTAAACTCCAGAGATCTATATCCTCAGCTGGTGTAAAGTAGCAGAGCATCTTTGAAGTCATAAAGACACTTGGCTGCTGAGAATCCAGCCCTGGAGATGTAGTGCACAACAGCAGTCTGGTGTATGATACATTTAGCCACAGGAGTTCCAAAGGACTCCAGCAGAGCAGGTTCAGACAAGTGCATTTCAGCCCACCACCATATGTCAAATGGTGTGCTGGTTATATAGATTAAACTTTTGATGACATTTTTTGTAACAAGAACAGCAGAAACAACAGGAGCTTTGAAAATGGACTATTTAAATAGATGATAAAAACCTTAACACTACTAGATAGACTAGTGTTAAATAAAAACTGTCTGTAGGCTTATAAATTAAAAGTAACCTTTGGGTTTGAGTCTGCAGTGTTTAGGGAGAAGTGTTATTCAGTGTCTGGATTTGTAGAGCTACTGGAGTGCATTTCAAAGTACTGCAGTGGCATGAAATTAAACCCTTTAAATTATACAATGATCTGTGTAAAATTATAAATTGATAGTAAGTAATTGTCCTGGATCATAGCCAGTGAAGTGTTGGTAGACCAGGTAAATTGAATATGTTGTTCATTCATTTTCTGTGGAAGCAATTTAGCATATGTGGGGCACAGTTTCATGCTGGCACTTGTTAATGGATGACTAATAAATCAAGCTACAGAACTCCTTAGAAACATGAAAAAAGGAAGCTGTAGTTCAATGAAAATAATAAAGTGCTTTAAATGAGCATTTGTTGTTTACTACATTGTTTCTCATTTCATGGTAGACATCAAAACCAACCCAATGAAATATGATAGTGCTCTAGAGTAAGTAAAACTGAGCCTGTTACATACTGTAGTCAGTATTTCCATGTATTTTCTTGTCTTGATGTTAGACTTAGTTTACTGTGGGATGAGAGGAGAAGCTTATAGTACGGGTTGAACTTGCACAGACATAAAGATCACCATAAATATTCTCTATTTTAAAGTTTGCATTAGGAAAAATGTGGACGTAAGAAGAAGGAAGCAAGAAGAGCAATGTGGAAACAGTTCATATCCGGTGTATGTAGCCAGCTGGCCTGAAATACACTGTTCAGTTTTGTAAGACAGAAGAGGGTTGCTGGGACTGTATAGAAATCTGAGAATTTATTCCAAGTCTGTTGAATGATAGCTGCTATAATATGGATGCTTCTTCCATGGCTTCAATCCACCTAAAAAGGGCAGGAAAGAAAAAGTGGTACATATAAAAATTATATGCATTTTAAGCACATACGTATTTTAAGAAAAGTAATTATTTTAAGAACGTAAAGCCAGAAGAGGGCTGTATTTCCCATCTCAGGTCTAATGAGGAACTATAGTTTGGTGATTAAAGCAGGGAACTGGGTACTAGGACTCTTGCATTCTAGTACAACCTTTACCAGTAACTTACTGTAAAATCTCAAAGATAATACAAGTGCTGTCTTGGAATAGGAAAGATGAAACCACTGAAGTATGTTTAAAATCAATAAAATTTCCCATAAACACTCATTTCCTTCCCTGTATGTCTTGAGGTGCTGGTATTTTTATTACTAATTGCATTACTATTATGTGGAAGCAGTAGCATTAGATTGGGATATTTAAACAGTTATTTGTTGGTGAGGAAACCAAGAGATGGATAAATAGAACACATAAATAAGAGAAGTTTCTGTACAGTAATCACATTTGACAGATTTCTAGGCATGGCTCTTGAGACTCAGCCTCCTCTTTACCTATATAAGGGAGCAAATTCTCTTTCCTGAAGGAACTGAAAAGCACCAGTTAGATTTTTTTTTTTTCCAGGTGGCCAAGAAGGCCAAGGGCATCCTGGCTTGGATCAGGAATGGGGTGGCCAGCAGGAGCAGGGAGGTGATCGTGCCCCTGTACTCGACACTGGTGAGGCTGCACCTGGAGTACTGTGTTCAGTTTTGGGCCCCTCACTACAAGAAAGACATTAAGGTGCTGGAGCGTGTCCAGAGAAGGGCAGTGAAGCTGATGAGGGGTCTGGAGAACAAGTCTTATAAGGAGTGGCTGAGGGAGCTGGGGCTGTTCAGTCTGGAGAAGAGGAGGCTGAAGGGAGACCTTATTGCTCTCTACAACTATCTGAAGGGAGGTTGTAGTGAGGCAGGTGTTTGTCTCTTCTCCCAACTAACTAGCGACAGGACAAGAGGAAATGGTCTCAAGGAAGGTTTAGATTGGATATTAGGAAAAATTTCTTTACTGAAAGAATGGTCAGGCATTGGAATAGGCTGCCCAGGGAGGTGGTGGAGTCACCATCCCTGGAGGTATTTAAAAAATGTGTAGATATGGCACTTCAGGGCATGGTTTAGTAGGCATGGTGTTGTTGGGTTGATGGTTGGACTTGATGATCTTAGAGGTCTTTTCCAACCTGTGATTCTATGATAAGCTTTAAGACTTGTGCACTGGCTACTGTGGAAGTTTGTACCCCCATACCTCTGTGCTGAATTGTTATCTTCTGCTCGGAAGCTATAAAAGAGAGTCTGCTTGTGGTAGAGATGGAAAATTGTGTCCATGCTTCCTTCATCCTTCTCTGGGGCAATGGTGAAACCCAACAAAGGCAAACTTTCAGTGGCAACTTTGTCCTGAAAGCAAACAAGAAGTGAACCAAAATTCAGAGAGAGGGCTTGTAACAATTTGAGGGCTCTTTGTGAAAACCAAATGATGATATAAACCCTCTCTGATAGGGCTGCAAAAGCAATAGTGTGAATTTTCCACTGGACTGGTGGCTCTTAACTAAACAGGAGCAGTACCTCTGTGCTGCACGTGTTTATCTAGTCTTAGTCCTGAACTTGAACACCACTTCTGAAGGTCCAGTTCTTCATGATCATCCACGTGGCCATGAAGGTCAAATTAGCCATTACTTTAGTGGCTCTCTCTGACATAATGGTCCGGGAGACAAACTAGATGTTACTGAGAGTATGGGATAGTACAGCAGCAGTTCTGAAAGCCTGAGACCCCCTCCCAGTTATATTCCTTTCAACCATTTTTATTTGCTGAGTGCAAATAGTAGTTAGTCTTTTTGGTACCTTGTCATTTGTTTTCCTAGCACTAGCAACCTTTTTAGAAATCTGCACTGTCTCAAACAGCACACTTGCTTTCCAAAATGCTGCTTTGAAATTTCTGAGCTGGTTATGCAATTAATGGTTAATTTACTCCCAAGAAATGTCCATAAATTTTGCTTGCCAGACACTGCTTTGTACAAGTTAGAGAACACGATAAGCCTTAATTGAATTGCAGTTTAGCTGTTATTGATAGCTGCAGGTTTGGTCCCTGTATTTAGGTAATGCTTTCTATATGTGTAGGTTGCCTTTGCTTCTGCTTTTAGAAGCTAAATTGCAAATGGGAAATGCAAAGTATGACTAGCCATCTGTTTCTTTTTTCCCTATTGTTGAACCAGAAATGGTCACTTTTAAGGTTAGCAGAGGTAAGGTAAATGTATTAGATACAGAATTTAATGCTAATAGTCTGAATTTCTGGCCAAATCATGAACTCTTTTGTGCCTCAATATCCTCATCTGTTTAAAGGGGGTAATGTTACTTCATGCAACCATCACAGTGGTGATGAAAGTTTAATAATTGACGTTTGCAGAGTGTTCTGAAGGCTTAAAGTACCAAATATTGCTATTACTACAGTTCTTGCATTCTGTGTCCTTTGTTCAGCAAAATGAATTTTTATGCTTTTATGTTTTTTTATGCTACTCACAAAGGAGAAGAAATTAAAATAAGAAAAGAGACTGGGAAGAGACAATATACATGAAAATGATTTAGTTGCTATCCAGCCTCCTTGGCTGTAAGGAGGAGCTCACAGGCCAATACACAAGGCAGTATTGTCATCTCTGCAGGCTGCCTCCTGGCTTTCCCTATTGGTACTAGTAGGACAAATAATTCCTATTTATACTTGCGAAACTAGAAGATTCTCTTCCCCACCAGAAATGGATCATAGTGCCATCTACCTACAAAATACCTGGCAATTACCAAGGGCACCAGAGAACGCCTAAGGACCTTGAAGATTTTACATGTAAATATGTAGACTAAGGTTCACAGTGATTAACAATTTATAATAGCATGAATAGCAAGAAGTCAAATAATGAAGGGCAGTTTGTGAAGACGGTTGCTGAGGTCCAGCTAGGGCTGTGGCTGGGCCGTTCAGCTAAGGACAGCTCCTTGGGGACTCTGTTAGGACCAGGTCTCAGAAGGCAGGTAGTTATGAGGACTGTGTTTATACCTTTCACGTTTACTTGTGCTGCCTGTAGGGACTAAAGAAGGAGACTCAGGAAGCCATGTCAAGTCAGTTTGCACAGTACCTCGTTTGCTATGTAGGTGTAGAGGACTTTGTCTTTGATAACAAACCAGCGTTTCTTCCAATGTCTTTTGCCTCTCTTACATCTGCTGAGGTAACCACTGATGGTAGCTCCCTCTCCTGAGGCTGCCACCTGGAGCAGGATAGGAGAAATCAGGATTTGTAACAGCAAAGGCGTTTCCCCTCCTGATTATGCATGTTTGCATCACACCAGACAGCCAGGTCTATGTCTGTGAAACCGTAAGTAGACCATTAAAAATATAGAGACAAAAAATATAAGCATGGTATTATGGTTCTTTTTAACTGTTTAAAAATTTCTCATTAAACTTAGTAACTCTGATGGAAAATATGCAGTTGAGTTATTATTGAGGTTGGCAAGTTTACAGTTACGTCCTGAGAAGCCGAACTTGTTCCTTTCCCCAGGTCTGTTTTTTTGGTATATTAAAAGTACATGCTTCCAAAAGGGAATTACAGTCTTGTGGCTAAACACTTCTAAGATGTGGGTATATTTAGGACTTTGCAATGGTTTTATATCTATTTATGTTAATTGCTTGACTATGACTTGGTTTCATTTGTGAAAGAATATTTCTGAGATGAGTTACCCCTCTCACAGAACTATTTTGAAATCTAAGTGCTTAATGTTCTTAAAGATCCAGATTTTGAGTAGATGGAACTATACACACACACACAATGCAATGTACATTATTAATTATAGTAGTAAACTGCAGTAGTACTGGATTTAGAAACAATGGGCAGAGATTCAAAACCAGCTTTGTAGCATTGACACATGAAGACTGAACAGTAATACAGTAGTATTTTTCAGCAGAACATAAATGTTCCAGGACTTGGGTATAGCAAGTTAGAAAAAGTTATGAAGCAATACTATTGTGAGACAGTTCATATTAATAAACATGTGCTTCATACTAATAAACGTGCTGCCTCCATGTGACTAGAAAGGCAATGCTTTTTTTCCTAATGGGGCTGAAATTTTGCCTGCTGGTTCTTTCAGTATTCAGTGTGTGTATTTGTGTTACATGCTTGTATCTTTGGCTCAGCGTCACCTTAGCACAAACAAACTTCAAGAAATTCCAGTGTCCAAACTGTACAATGAGTTCAGCAAGATGTTTGCACCCTGTTCTCTTTAATACAATACTGAATAATTGCTGATTTCAGTGAAATGGGATTGCCTTACTGTGCTTGAGTTCAATGGGCAACTTGGCTACCTAGACTACATCAACATCATTGGCACCTTGTTCCTGGAAAGAAAACTAGTATAGGTGGAGAAATCCTGGCCCCATTGAAACTGGTGGGAATTTTGTTTGTTTACGTTGGTGGGATCAAGATTTTAATAATTTGATCTGAAATAGTTTGGTTTGAGCTGGAGCTAAAGTACCTGATTAAACCTGTATGCTCCCAAATGGATTGGCAAGGACTAGAGTCTATTCCCCAAGTAAGTGGTATTTTATTTATCTTGAAATCAAAGCAAGATTTCAGAAGTTAAGGGTCTTGTCAAAAAAAGGTAACTGGTCAACTGTGTATCATTGCTTTGTTGGTACTTGTCATTGCCTATTTGTTGTACTGTCTAACTATGGTCATTGTCTGCCTTGTTGTACTATCTAGTACCTTGAAGTCGTCTTAGTTTTCTAAAGACTTCACAGGCTGATGAGCAAATTGAAGTACGCTGCTCTGATTGAGTTTCTCAGTGGGCTCAAGAAGCCTCTGTGGTATCTTCAGAGGTCAGAGTATTTTGTATTTTAAACGCTATTGTGAAAAACAGAAAAAATAATTGCATGATGAAACTAGACCAGGGCATGGGCTGAGCCCACTGCACACAGAATAAATTATAAACATAGGTGCTGAACTATGAGCACACAGTTCTCTACAGTTCCTTGCCTTTTTCAGGCAGCTTGGTCCTACCTCCATAAGAGCTGAAGGGATCTTCTTCTGTTTCTTAAAAGACGAATAATGAATATTGTGGAAGACAGAGGAGAAGGCACTGCTTGAACACCTGGATGAAGTTGGAGGGAAGCTCACACTTAGTGGCCGTTCTGCAAGATTAAGAAAATTCAGAAAGGGAAGGGGGAAATGGATGAATCGGTACATATCAGATCGAGGGTAAGAGACATACAATAGGCTAATGCAAATGACTAAGGAATATGCAATGCCTCCTCCATAGCCGGTTTTTATTTTAGCTTTTCTTCCAAATCACTCCTGTAAAAGTTTGATTAGATGGGTGGATTTCATAGCACCCTAGGTTAATGGTAATAACCTACAGCTGCTTGAAAGAAGCATGCAAGAAAGCTGACAAAACACAAAATACAGCTTGTTTTCTTCCATTTTAAAATCAGCATTAAGCAAATAGTTTTTCCATCTATCCCCTCTATGTTCTATAACACCTTTGCAAGATAGATTCACTAATGGGACATCCTTTCTGTATGAACTGTTCTCTTTTGAGTTCTGCATGAGAGAGTGTTACTCTGTCTCTGTCAATCTCCATTAACCTCAGTTGTTTGTGTTCATATTTTCATGATCTCACTTCTGGCACTCCTGGGGCCTCAATACCCATGCCTTGTGCTTGAAATGAGAAATCCTCTTTAACAAAACACAACATGGTAAGCAGATCCTAAAGCTTCCCTGTTATACAGGCAGGAAATGGGTTTGTCAGTTTTGCCAATATTGAAGGAACCTTACCTCTTTTCTTAAGTTCCACATAGCAGCTATCACAGACTTTGGCTGCCTGATCTTTGAGGTACTTCATAGGGTACTTTTTTCTTGAACAATTTCGACATACAATCTGTTCCAGCAGGGAGAGATGCACATAAGTACAATTTCAATTTATACATATGCACATACAAAACAAATCCTCTGAGCTGGTTGGGAGAGGAAGATGGATAGTGGATAATATATGACTTTCCTAAAACTGTGGCAGTCAGTGTAAGTTTACTGACTAAAATGTTATTGCTGTAGATTTACACTGTTGTAAGCCAAGCAGAATTGATCACTGGGTTTGGTTGTACACCACTGCTGTGCCCATCTCCCCAGGCACTTACACCTTCCCTACTAGTGAATCACAGAAAGACCACTTTAATATTACTGCTGTTTTCATAGCTTTGTTAGTAACATCATTTTCTTAAGCTTGCATGTTGCAACTATCCGTGTGTAGGTACAGACTGATTTTTCTTTGTGGAATTAGAAAAAAGATTAAGTAAATGCGTTTTCATACTAGCAAAAATTAGTGGTAGTTTGTACAAAAAAAAAAAAAAAAGAAAAAAATCACTGAAAGACAGCCATGGTTTAAAACAGGACTGCAGATTTATGTGTATAAACAAATCTCTAGAGGCACTGATACAGGGACAAAACCAAGAAAGCGTATGGGTCCCCTTGGCTTTAGGGCAAAAGGCAGCAGCTCTTCAGTGGAGCACAGAGGAAACTTTCCCTGTGGTCACTGGCTAAACCATGCTCTACTGCTGAGTTTCTTCACTTTTAATAATAAGATAATTTTACCAGCTGTTATTAGGGACAGGAATTGGACTAGATGTGCTACTGCTTTGGTCTAGAACAGAGCGTATATTTTTAGTGTATTGCTTCATTTTCTCTAGAGCTAGCTGTATATCCGATACAATGGCTGGACTCAGCAACAATTATCCTGTAAGCCTTCAGCTACTAGCCTTTGGGAATTAATTGGGCCCTCGAGGAAAGGTTACTGTTGTTCTGACTAGAGTCATTAGAAACCTAATGACCTAATTTAGCAAAGCACTAACAGGTTCTGTGAGAAGTCAAATTCTGGTCTTGATGTCGCTACAAGTTTGTAGAAGTTACAGCAGTGGCAGCCAGTGTCCTACAGGTGCGAATAAAGCCTTCCTGAGAAACTTATACAGCTCTTACCTTCCCACAGGCATGGCAATGATGTCGCCTCAAAGTGAGGGTAAAGTCACAGCCACAGTTCATGCACATCATGACATGGGACACAGGTACCAAAGTGGGAGGCCTCTCACCCAAGGGTATTCCAAGCCTTTCCCTTAGCTTAAAATCAAACAAGAACAAATAAAGAAGCATCCACACTTCCAAAGTATGCTCAGTCAGTCCTGCTCCATCACATACAATTCTCCTCTCATTTCAGTCTGCCTTCACCTGCTAAAATCTCCAGGTTTTTTTAATTCATAATTCATGTTGTAAGTGAGATACAGGTGTTTCGGCACTGAAAGGCTGTGGCCAGTCAGTACATGGTGCTGTTAAAGCCAGAGTCACAACAGGTAAAAATCAATGTATTGTTGGTCAGGCACTGACACTCTTCCACATCAGACAAGCTTCTGTTTCATTGCGTATGCAAATTGCATGTAAGAATGTAAGTTAAAGCCATCTTTTTCTTAACAACTTTTGAAATGAAATCCATAAAAAGCTCTGTAGCTTTCAATCGAAAAGGGCCTGAGCTCTTTATGTCATTGCACCTTGGGACAGTTCTATGATCGGGGAAGAGAGAGTACAGAAAACAGTAAAACCAGAGATTATTTATCCCCACGCAATCCAGATCTGATCCGTGCTTTCCATTGCTGATCTGAATATATGTAAACAGCTTGAGAAAATGTATTCACTGTTGCTATTTTGTGGAATGCACCATGCTGCAGTGTTGTACAAGTGTCTTTGCTCCAAGCCCAGGGAGCCATGGTCATTGTGAAACTGAACCCAATCTAATAAGCTGTGCTGAGAAGCTGTGTTACTTCAGGTTTGGCACCAAAGTATTATGGGTACCCCACTGTCAGTTCACAGCAGCTTAGTGTTTGGCACAAGTAGCACAAGCTCTTGTGCCTGTGAAGGACTGTTTGTTAAAAGGCTTTCCTATGAGGAAATCAGACTTCTGCAGACAAATAGGATTTAAACACCGAAAAATAAAATTCCTCTAGATTTTTCATTGTGCACATTCAGATTCACATCAGAAGAAGAGCTGCAAAAGAAATTATTTTTTCATTTGTTGAAAAAGGATTTAGTTTAGGTTGCTATACTAACTAATTTCTAATTTTTTCTTGTTAAATATTTGAAAGTAGGTTAGCTTCAGGCCAGAAGGAAAATCCTGTTTTGTTTTTTGAATTCATTTGTTTAATTTCTGAAGTCTTCAAAAATTGAATCACAGACTGGTTGAAGTTGGAGGGGACCTCTGGAGGTCATCTGGTCCAACCCCCTGCTCAGACAGGGCCACCTAGAGCCAGCTGCCCAGGGCCATGTCCAGCAGCTTTTGAGTATCTCCAAGGATGGAGACTCCACAACCTCCCTGGGCAACTCGTGCCAGTCCTCAGTCACCCTCAGAGTGAAAAAGTGTTTCCTGATGTTCGAGAGAACCTCCTGTGTTTCACTTTGTGCCCACTGCCTCTGGTCCTGTCCCTGGGCACCACTGAGAAGAGCCTGGCTCCATCTTCTTTGTACCCTCCCATCAGGTATTTATACACATTGATGAGATCTGCTCTGAGCCTTCTCTTCTCCAAGCTGAACAGTCCCAGCTCTCTTAGCCTTTTCTCGTATATGAGATGTTCTAGTCCCTTCGTCATCTTCACGGCCCTTTGTTGGACTCTCTCCAGTATGTCCATGTGTCTCTTGTACTGGGGAGCCCAGCACTGGACACAGTTACTCCAGGCGTGGCCTCACCAGCACTCTTTTCTTCCCCGGTTAGCCTTGTTTAGTAAAACTGGGGTTCTACATAACCTAAAATACCATGTTTACTTTTTTTGTCACATGCATTCTTTGCCTCCTTAACTGGGAGTAGTACAACTGAAATTAATGAGGTAACAATAATATACATCAATTGTGCCGATACAATTAGAATATTGCTGGTGGGGTTTGCATGGGCAGTGACCTTATTGTGTGTATGATATTAGTGTAACTAATGGGTAGTTTTGTTTCCTTAAAATCTGTGAAGTTTTTAGCTATTTTGGATGAAAGAAAAATAGCTGCCCATTAACACAAAATAGTCTTCCTCCAGAAGAACTCCAATTTAAGCAAAGACCACAGAGTACAGAGTATGATTAACGTTTCAGAGGTGTGCCATTAGCTGTGATGAGCTTCATTATTTATGCTTGGCATACTGGTTTAAATGAAAATACTAAGAATGTCTTGCTACTAGGAACTCTGCGTTTTATAACCCTCTTCCTTTCCTCTCTCTTTCTCTCCATTTCCCCTTCCACTTTCAAGCATTGAAAGACTTGGCCTGCTTTTACCTCCACGCTGCTGTGGAAAGTGGAAGTGTTGTGATCTTTGCAGTCATCTGGGATGTGTCTGCTGATGCAGCTGTACCAGTCATCCCTTTCCGACCAAGAGCTGTGGAATGAAATACAGCAGAGCAGTCAATTCTATGCACAGCAGGGACTGAAACAAGCTGTTTCTGGATCAGAGGAGAAAAGCTTCACTTTATGAATGCTTGCTTTTCCCTGCTACTGCATTGAACTGGTAATTTTCTGATGAGGAACTTGGAATTGTTGGACTTACTCAGTGGGATGTTTAATGTAGATCTAATGTTAGGACTGTGACTGAGAAGGAACTGAACACCCAGAAATTTTTTCAAAGTAGTCTCTAACTTTGCTATAAGCTGTCCAATCCTAGATCACTTAGGACAATATGAAATGTCTCTTTTTGTCATGTATGCTCTAGCTTTTAGGCACTCCAGTGCATGTAATGTTGGCATGGGTTGCTCAAAGTCAGCATGTTTATGCTCATCTCTACATTGGGATGCTTAGATGATCTGTGTGTTGGAAAATGGAGAAATCTGTCACCCGTGGTAGAGATGCGAGTGCTGTAATCTTCTAGCTCCATCACAGACGAGCTCCTGTCTCCTGGCAAGAGGCCAGGGCAGCAATTTGAGAAGGAAGTTCTACATTCCCTCTCGTTGCAGTTATGCATAGAGGCCAGTAGTTCTTCAGAGTGGCCCCTAGATGCCCCCTTTGCACAAGGCAAAACAGTGAGTGCTTTGCGCTTCTCTGCCAGTCCAGCTCTCCCAGAAAAGCAACAGGGCTCTTAGTGCCTATTACTTCCCGGATGCATTCGCTCTGTTACAGCCATAAGCTGTCCTGCCTGTGTTAGCTGGGTTTCCTGTTGTGGCTTCAGACTGTGCTCTTCCTGTCCATCTGAAACTGTGCACAGCTCTAGTTCCCAGCATCAAGTCGCAGGAGGGAATGCAACTCAGTGTGGTCTTCCCTCCTCAAGTCGAACCAGCCACGCACATTAAAGTTATCCACTAGACTTTGTTGTAAAAATTAGCAGTGGTGTCGTTGCCAGCTGCTGTTCAGCTGTGAGTTCCTCACACTGTCCTCATGAAGGCCACCAAAAAAGACATCTGAGAACAATTTGTCTTTTGTGGTCTTAAAAAAAAAAAGGGGGGGGGAGCCCACAAAAAGAGAGGAAATGTCAGATTTTATCAGTGATCTCTGACTTAGCATCCCTTTGCACTGTGAGCATAAGCCCTTGTCTGAAAAGCATCAGCCTCTGTAAAATACAACAAGGGTGGAGCAGAAATTGGAGCAGAGCACCACGTGGTTACCCCTGTGTCCAAGAAGAACATTTCTGAAATGCAAATAAAGGTATAAGAGAAGTATGAGCCTTATCCGTAAAGGCTCTGTGCTCAGATCTGTTACCAGCTCACTGCAAGGCAATAATACGGCTCGTCGAGTGAGCGTTTTTTTTACATGTAAAGATTTTACAGTGCCATCTGCTCATATAACCACGCTAATTTCAGAGCTTTGGTAATCCTCATTTTATTGCCTTTAGTCCCTAGCACTCATGCTGTATTTCTTCAGTGCATTCGCCTTGTCTCACACAAGCGTAAAGGCATTGAGGTTTGGGTTGTGGTTGTTAACAGCTGGCCTTCAGTGCAGACTTGCAGCACCTCAGTGTGAGCACTAGGAGATACAGTCTTTAGGGACACTTGGTACATTTGTGTCTTTGGTGCTCCTTTTGGCGTGTAGGAGGCCAAGGACATCGTGCAGTGGGGTTAGGAGAGCATGTTGTCCCACCGTTGACTTATCAGCTGGCCAACCAGTGCAGAAAGGGAGAGGAAAAAGTGTTTTGGGGTGACTTTATGGCGGATTGGTCCCAGAATGAGCAGCACAAGGAAGGGAAAGAGGCTCTGTTCCAGCACTCTGAGAAGAGTCAGTCTCTGTCTGGCTGTTAACAGAAGGGCAACCTTAGTCTCAGGCCCTGGTTCTATCTACTACCAAAGAAACAGCTTGCAGTGGCCTCACATGCTTTGTTTAGGCTAACTAAGCACAAACTTGATGAGTACAAAAGGCAAAGAAACAATATAACAATGGAAGCAGAACATCCCAAGCTTCTCGTTAGGGATGCCAACTTAAGTTGTCCTGAACAAAGAGGACATGCAGCAGTGATTTCCCCTCTACAATACTGTACACATCCTGCTTTTGTAACTGGCAGCAGGTAATTCAGAAGTACCGTGTATATATTTTAAGGGTTGTGATGAGTGTGCAGCTCTAAGAAAATCTCAGATACTTTCTCATTTGCTGGTTATAAAAGGAAACAGACAAAAAGGCTTTGACAGGTATCTGAGCACTGCCCACAGATGGCAAGTGCTCTGGGAAGGATGGGAGCTCCAAAGTTTGATTCTGAATAAGAAAGTGCCATCCCTGTCTTTCTGTTGCGCTGTGTAATTTAGGGAAGATTGCTGTGTTTCCAGCCATGCTGTAGTTGGAGACTGATGGTAGGAAAGCCAGTACTTAAAAGCATTGAAGACCTTGTTATTTGGAAGACTTAATTTTAATACCACTGCTAGTGTGTTACCTCTTTTGTAGTAAACTATGTCTGAAAATCAAGCCAGCTACCTTTGTGCAGTAGCTCTAGGTAAATTTGCAGGATACTTTTGGGCTAGAAGCACGAAAAAATATAGTACACCGCTATCTTCTGATCAGAAACTGACCTACAATCTCTTTCTGGCATTAGCTTGTGATGCCAGGACAGAGATCCTGACTCCTAGTTGTAATCAGTACTAGCACTACACAAGCTTATTAGTGAAATTCCTTGTATTAGAAAGATCCATGAGGTTGACAGTAGGTTCAATTTTGGCTTTGTCATTTAAGCATTATTAAATGCTTTTATATTTATAGCATGGTATTGCCTAATTACTAACTTCACCACCAGATATACCGCCCTAGTGGTATGATGTCACCAGCAAACTTATAAAAGGGAGATATAACATACTCTTAGTGTCACAGGGAAAAAGTGTGAAAGATAGTAGACTCAGGCTTCTTAGTAACGGACTTTCTTTGCTTTGCTTTCTCTTTCCCATGTTATCAAGAGACGACTTCTAATCTTTACTCAGTATATGAGTTGAATTAGTTACAGTTTATGAGCTTTGTGTTTATAATAAATATCTTCATTGTGTAATCAAGCACTCAGCCATTGTCTGTCACAATAGCACAAACTAAAATTGAGTTAAAGAAGAATGAGACACCAGTTAAGTCTTGGGTAGGCTAATCTAGAGATACAGCTCTAGAATGTAACACCCTCTGCCATGACTGTTTGGGGACAGTACCTTGCTGACAGGGTCAGGCAATATTCATCATTTTCAATCTTCAGGACATTTTGGGCTTTTTCTGTCACTGGGCGGCTGACCTAGAAACAAATGCCATGAACATGAATGTGGATGTGAGTTAAACTGTCTACAACTAGTACACCATGCAAGTCTCAATGCATATGGATCTATGAATGTCCCAGCCATCTGTTTCATATTTCAATACAAAGAGACGGGCACGTAGGGGTTTCTGTCTTTTGTATTGCTGATGTAATAAGGAATGCTCTCTTATTTCAATGTGGTGGTGGTGCTAAAGGGAAAAAAAACATTTACTACAACTATAAAGGTAGGGATAAAGTATCAATCGGGTTTCAGTTTTAATATGACAAGCTGAGGAGATGTTTAGTCTGACAAGTGACAGAGCATTTTGGGCAAAAGTTTTGGCTATTCTTGGAATGAATGGAAAGAATTTTCTTCCTGACATGCAACCATTATACAGTGAAGCCCTTCAGTTCAGTGAATACCTGTCTGCAGCAAGGCTCTTTAAGAGCAAAAAAAACGCACTTAAAAGCTACAGCTCAGCTAAAACTTTTTCCCTGTAATGTAGTTTTAGTTGCCTACTAATAGCAACAGCCACTTAGGAGAAACATAGCTTCATGGTACTGACGCGTTGTTGTCAACAAGCATCTATTATGCCAGTGATTGTTTCAAATGTACCCCAACAAGTACCTGCTCTGCAACTCCCTTTCACATAATGGTAGAGCATTTTGGCGATTCCTACTGCAGCTGGGAACCCATAGTTAGTTTTAGACTATCAGGTCTCTAGGGTGATCAGCCTCCCATCTTTTCATAACACCACAGCCCACCTGTGTCATTCTGCTGGAATTAATGATTAGTAGTTCTCAGCTTGCATGTTTCCTAGATTCCCAGACACCTGACTTGCCTCTTCAAGTCCTCTTTCACATAAATATGAATTGGCATATTAGCTATAGAACAGTTATGAAGGTTCTTGGTGGGAGGTATGTAATGGGTGGCTAGGTAAGAAGCAAAGACGCCTCCAGCTCAGTATCTCCTGGTGCACAGGTACTGGTGCCAATTTCCAGTTTTTGTAATCTGCAATTTAGAAATTTACTGAAGAAGATGTATCATTGCATGTAATAGCTCCCAATATACCTTTTCCCCATAAAGCTGGCTAATCACTTTTGAACCCATTAATGCTTTTGATGCAAACAGTCAAAGGGTACATGAAAACGAAGCAAATGAAAGCTTATGTAAATTTTGAATGGCAGGAGTTTAAAACTAGGCAGACTAAGCCCTAGTGAATATGTTGTAGGGAATAACCATGTATTGGCTGGAAACATGAAGAGACGAATGGACAAAATGGGATAACAAATCTTTTCTGTCTCTAATTTCATGATCAGATGGTAAATCTGATTTTGGCTTGTATTATTTATGCAGCCTGAATAAGGCTGTCGTACTAAGTCACAGCCTTATAGATAATCTTTTATCTGCTTTATATTTTTTTTCCTTCTGTCTACTGTAAGAGGGAAGGGAATCCCTTGATAATAGGTCCATCCTCTCTTTCCGCTTGCCTTCAGCTGGATATGAGACATAAACCAGCAAAGCGCTAAAAGCCCACTATGCAACTTTAATTCCAGCCTATAATACAGATGAGGCATTACCTTCATGCCTGACATAGCCAAGGTGCTTTTCAGTCGGTATTTGCCATCCTTCTGGGGATATGTGTACAGCAGAACATCATTCATCTATATGAAGAGAAAGACAAAATCAATAATTTGCAATATGGCTTTCAGGCCTGCCTGTTACTCCTGGGGGGATACACAGAACAAGCAGTAACTTGATGAACTGCTAGGACTGTTACTAAAGACGGGCCCAAGCCACACAGCTCAGATCAAGACCAGCATTTCTACAAAACTCTGGGGTGTCTGCATCCAGGACTTCGATTTCTTCCCATCTTTGACTGTTGCTAATGCCTAAACAAGTAGATATTCAGTTCTTTTTTTATTCAGCTTGGGGGAAAAAGCTGCTTGTTTTAAGGGCAATGCCATGTTCAAGTTGGGAAGGCAGGCTCTGCATTTACTACCTGGCAATACCAACTAAAGGCCCAGGATGCTACAGCTCTGACTCTCAAGAGTCCCCCTGACAGTGAAGCTGTGGTGAGGCCAGGGGTAGGACTGGGCTTCACAGACTAGGCTTCACAGACTTCCATTTTCTGGGTAAAAAGGAAGTGTTGGTGAGGAGAGGTGCCATGGTCTGGAGGAATGATTCGGGGAGGAATGGTTTGGATATTTGAGACCAGTGACTGTACTTCACTGCTAGCAAAACTGACCTAGACATATGACAGCTTTGCTGAGTCTGTGGGCCGCAGGAGAGACCATGGAAGGGAAAAACTGAGGAACAGCTTTTCATTTTAGGAAGAAAAAGAATCTGTACCTTAACACCCCAAATATTTCCATAGTTCTCACAGCTCCTCGCAGAACGCATGTTTTCAAACAGCTTCATACTAAGTGGGATCAGATCTTCTCTGCTCTTTGCCTGACTTAATCATAGACGTTATTGCAGCCTTTTACCTTCATGCCAACAAACAAATAAATGAAACGCCAGAACTGGACCTTGTAGGTCTTTGCTGGCGTCTCCTTCCTTTACTACTGGAAGGTGGGCCTTAACATTGCCAAAGTAATGCTTGTGTGTATGCATTCTCTGCTTTACTTGAACGAGCAAGTCATGTTTTGTTGTTGTCTTTCCCAGGCCTCTCACATCAATACCAATATGAATAAACTCGGACAAACACTTGACTACTGTACTGGGGTACTATGAACAAGGATGTGCAAGGCAATGTAAAACCAAGGCATAGGTAATACTGTGTGATGCCAGAGACAAGGCATCTTAAATGCAAAAATTCTTGAGAAATTAAAAAGTAGACAGAAACCAGCTTCACTTGGATTCCTCTGTGACAAAGACATCTAAATATAATCAATTGGATGGTAATAATACTATGTTTTGGAAGGACAACTGTGATAAAGAGAGACACAGAGGAGAAGGGAGGAAACTAAAGAATGATTTAGCAATAAAATAATGTATCATGTATGACTGGAATTGTTGGGGTTTTGATAGTACTGCCTGACCACCTAAAACTGCTGATGTGAATTCTTCACAAATTTGCTTGCCTGAAAAAAAAAAGTGGAGCCTTATGGATGTTTTCTTAAAAGGTGATAGTTCACCTTTCTTGCAGAGCAGGAACAATGGTTAAAGAAAAATGGCATGGGATTAATAATCATGGGATTAAATCCTTATCACCTTGGACTTAACAGCAAAATTGTTGTTGCGTTTATTAGGGTCATGAGTTCACTCACGGATACCAGTTCATTAAGTAGCTGTTTGATTCACAGCAGATCTGGCTTCTGTGCATTAGCTGCCCATATTTAAAATGCAGATTCCCATTAATTCACATTAATATGTGAGGCAAAATATACTGAAGAGTGACTTTCCCCAAAACTGTTACTTAAAATTTTACTACTTTTAAAAATTTAATTGAGTTTAATAAGTGAGATCAGCCAATATTTTTGTAGAAAATGCTGAAACATTTCATTCTAACATTTTAACAAAGACTCCCATGCTCTCCTGTATTGACCACTCTACTGTGTATTTCTCTGTGTCCTTCTAATAAGTCTTAAATCAGGAGTCTCATGTTCTCTGTAGTCTGATGTGAAGTATTTACTCCTTTTGTATTTTCCCTAGAACAAGGTGACAAATGACTTGTCACAGAGTTTTTCTGTGATTTACTTATTGCTCCATAAATTACCCTCCATGCTAACATTAATCCAGTCAGCACAGTGACACCTGCACAGTACTGACCACATGATGATTCCCAGTTTAACCAGGGTTATGCATAACCAGAAAATGCATCATAACCTTATACCTGAGTGTCTAGGAGGCTAAGGCAGAAAAAAATGAGCAAATGTAAACCTTTCAGTGAAAAGCAGGTGAAAGCTATTTTCACTTCATATTACTAGTAGCAACAAGGACTCCAGCAGCCGGGTGGGAAAAGGTAAAAAGGCAGGCAGATTTATTTATTTTAAAAGCTACATATTTCTTTAAAAAGCAGCTCATTCTTTTGTTACTGTTGATTAAGGATGACACCCTGGTGCATACTGTTGTCACGACAGCTCTGGTTAGTATCCCAAGATTTTATTAAACATTAATGATGACTTTGCTTTATAATTGCCAATTGGAGTTTTTTTTCTCCTTCTGTTTTTCTCCCCCACAGTATATAGTGGTAGGCTGTGACTTTGAGGTCCCACCAGCCACAGCTTGACACAATGAAATTGTAACAAATATTTCAAAGTTTGCTAAGCAAGGCACACATATTCATGAAGAAAGAAAGGGGTTGCACTTGCTGCTGTCTTCTTTGCCACATCTACGCTGGAGACCTGAGTGATGGCTATATGAATGGTATGGACAGAACTAGCATCAGTACCAGTGGTTTCGTGCATCGTCCTGCTTCACACTGCACACTATTCCCTGAAACAGTGAGGACTGGGCCATGATCAAAGCTGATCTTGCAGCCCCTCAGGAATCTCTGGTAGAAGAGATTGACTGCCGCAGTCCCCAGGGGAGTTCCCAGCGGTCCTTGGGCTTCAGACCCACTTCCTGTTTGCTGGAAAACTTTTGAACAATTGGGGATCCCCAGACTGCTCAAATACTGATGCAGGAGCAAATATTCCTGTTCTGCACTGCTCTATGCACACACAGTCCCCAAAACAACAATTGATAACACAGAGAAAGAAGGATACGTCTGCTCTTTAATTTTCTTTTTTTCTTTTTCTGTTACTACTGTTCTTTTTTCCCCTTCTTTTTATAGTCCGCTCTGTTGCGATGGGAACACAGTAACATTAGAGGTCAGTGCAAGTTTTCTAACCTACAGTGTTCATTGTCTAAAAGCTCCTCCCATGTGTTTGGTTCTTCTGAATGTTTTAAAGGGTAGTTCATTATGAACCCTGTGTTGTTCTATTCAAGTCTGCATTAAACATCCCCTGAGTGTCAGTGGAGCAGCCTGAATGTGTGCTGGGGCTGCATTTTCCAAACTCTGACTCCAAAACCTCCTGTACTCTAGCCCTGCCAGCTAGAGCATTAAACAGTCTCCCATTTGATAGCAGCTTCTGGCACCCTGCTTGCAACACAAGCAGCCTTTGTAGAGAAATTCTTGGGAGGGTGAGATAACAGACATTGTCTGAGTTGCAAAGTCCTGTGGTTGGGGGGCAGTTAGGGGCCTGCCAGTGTCAGCAGCCCATACTGTGCTGCAAAGAGGCCCCAACATCCTTGTAAACAGAGACTGGACTCAGGAAACAGGCGCACAGCAAAACTCACCAAACATCCTGCCAGGAAACGCCAGATTCAACAATACCATCAGCCTGCACAAAACAGCCAGCCCAAGTAACCTTGTGATATGTAGAACATACACCCTCAGAAATATATGCACATCAAAAGCCCCCAGATGTGTCGTACACACTCATGCCTATATGGGCTGTGCACAGACATACAATGCTCCTTATGGGCATACATTCACAGCACAAGCACACACACCACCAAAGCACACCCTGAGTGTACAGGCCAAGTAGGAGTCTGGCACACACCCCATTTTTATCACATATTCTGTCTACAGCTTTAGTTTGGTGGGCTCATCTCCGGGGACGTGTAGGGCTTTAATTCTGAGTTATCCTTCAGTGTATACTCTTCCAGTGAAATTCTCTCCAGGTCCTGGGCTTGATTTAGCTTCAGCTGGGTTAAGTTCACTACTAAAAACTACAGAGAATGCTGTTCATGTAAAAATCTGGTTTGGGTAGCTAAGGTAAATACATTTCTTTCATCCAAAGCTAAACCAAACTACACCTATACATGTTAACTTCTGGTGATCTTTTTGAGTGGCAGCTGACATGCAAAGTATCAAAAAAAGCCAGTTCTGAAAGGGTTTTTTTGATTAATACATTAGGACAAATTCTTATCCTACCTTGAGTTTTGCCAGTGGATTCAAAGGACTGATACGGTCCTTAGAAGATACAGGCTTTAAATAAATGTGGGTTTTAAGAGACAGTGTTTAGATTATTCTAGTCTTGGGGTTTTGTGAGTTTGAGTTGTTTTTTTTTTCCACAGAGTCCTCAGGCATCAGAATCAAGACGTGGGTTGGGCTAGATGCACTGGAAGGGGAAAGCATATGTGCATGCAGGCCTTGGCTGTTACAAAAAGGTGTTGGCAGTGATGGTTGGTAGGGCCTTAAGACTGATGCAGTAAAGATGCTATATGCCAAGATGAAAATACATTGCCATAGCTATTCAGTAGTTGTCTTAATGTAGCCACAGGCTAAATAGTCCAGTAAGTGATGCATGAATGGTGGTTGCATGAGAGGTGGTGGCACAACAGAGAATCCACAGCATTAGCAGTGACAAGCAGATTCAGGTGTTAATGCAGGAATTACCATATTCCACAATGAATCCGCTTTCCTGCAATTTTACCATACACGGCATTGCTCTGCAACCTGAGGAGCTTTCAGGGTAGAGGACATTGAGTAAAAAAAATCACTAAATCCAAAGGCAGATCTTTACCAGTAAGCTTCAAACTGTTTCCAACATCCAGTCACCCCTGCCCCACCCAAGCAGGAGACATAACACAGAAAGCCTGAAATGGTTGCAACTTTAGTGTGTTGGACCTGGAAAGAAGCCAGGTTTATGAGCCTCTTGGTCCTTGAAAGTGACTGCTATGGCTTAGTCTAGCTCCACCACATACTTTGCATGACAGCACGTTCAGTCACAGTTTGCCTTTCTGACTCAAAGGAAGAAAAAAATGCTGTTTCTGAATGCTGAGAGCATCTGTTAATGACAGGACACTGGCTACTGTAATGTCTCCAGCTGCCAAGAGACACTTCTGTCTTCGCAGTTTACATCCGGGTTTGAGCAGCTGAACTCTCCCCAGGAATCAAAAATAGTTCCTAAACTAGAAAGTGCCAGAAACTCATTTCTGTGCTTTCTTTGTTCCAGTAGTACTTTCAGCCTCTTGTGACCCTGAAGTTGATGCAACCATTTTGGACTACTGGAAATTTAACTCAGTTTATCCCAAGTTTCCATTACTTTCCTTTCAATGTTTATTACCAACCTGATTTCTGATCTTCCTTTTAAATTCGCTGTATCAATTATAATAGCTAGGTTTGTGACACTTCAGTATTTGCCATAGTAGTGAATTATGATGACAGTTACGAAAACACTGGAAGACAAAATGGTAACAACTTCTTGGAATTTGGTCCCAGCTTTAGCCACAACTCCAAAATGTTTTTGTAATACTAGCAAAGGTGAGCATTTCACAAGAGGGATCAGTAAGGAACCAAGTATCATCTGTTACAAAGTGGTCATCTGTAGGCTTCAGAGTTGTGACTGCTGAGAACACTGTTTCTTAAGACCGGCTCCTGGAAATTCTGGCATGGCAATTTTCCCTTGGCTGCAATAAAGTCACGATTTTAACGTTTGTTGCTGTTGTTACAGTCCATTGATGCTGACTCAGTAAAACAGCACTGCAACAATCTTGTATTTGAAGATTTGGGTGAAATCCATCCCTTTCAGTACATGAAAGTCTCAATTTTCACAGAAACCAAGAAGCCATCAGAGAAGTGCAGTGCCAGTACTGTGTCCCATGCTATCTGATCTTTTATTATGACTGCAATACATGATCAAGGAGGCAAAGAAGCTTATGCATCCACCCATGCACAAATATTAATAAGAGGGAGAAATAGGAAGAATTAATGGCAAAGTGTATGACTTCTGTGAGAAGCCATCTTTCCTCTTCACAATATTCCCAGGGTTAAAAGCTGTTGACACTTAGAGAGGCCACAGCAAATACATATTCCAGGCTTATAAGCCATTTATTTTAAAATAAATTCTGCAAACAGTACTTTAATGTTAATAGCAGCAGTAATGCTCAGTTCTTTATGGCTCTTTTCTGGGAAGGAGCTCTAAAGAATTTTTCAAACATTAACAGGTAAGCAGGTAACAAACTCCTAAGACACAGGCAAGTATTTTCCCTTTCATTCTGATAAATGCATAAAATTGCCTGCAGTTACACAATAAGTTACCTGAAAAGTTGAGAACAGAGCTCAGGAGCCTGGAGTCTCAGATATTCTCTAACTGCTCAGTGTAGTATGTAATGCAAAAGAGAAAGCATGAGTGTTAATAGCATATCTCCAAACCAGTGGTTTTTTGTGTTTTAGTTTGCAAATACTTGCAATTTTTGCAGTAGGGTTGTGGACCCTTGTGAAGGGTATTCCAGCCACCTGATGAAAGGTTCATTTTTCTTAACTATCTTAGAAGAATTTTGCAAACCGTCATTGAAAACTGCTGTTCCAATCAGCAG